TCCGATTTTCAAATGGCACACCCTGTATATTTTTTGTTTTTTTGATTCTACAGATCGTTTTACGTCCTAATGTACCACTTTTAAATCGAACTTTGTCCAAACTTCGTTTTCAAATTAAATTTTAAGTAGAAAAAAAATAATAACCTACATACCTAATAAAACAAAAAAATTTTAACGAAAATTAAGAAAAATGTCATAGTGTATTATATCGTTGGATTCGCTTCAAAATACTGCATTTAGTAATGTTATGAAAGTGATATGTTCCTATTCTAGTTTTTGAGCTAGGGCAAAAGTACTAAAATAATGAAGTTCACAGCCCTCTATCAAAAAAGTTTACAAAGATAAAATTGAGTTTGTATTTTTCTGAAATTAAGTAAAGTATGTAGAGTCATTTTAGGATGATCATGGCACTCTAGCGAAAAAAATCAAATTTAATTTAAAAACAAAATTTGGACAAAACTTGATTCAAAAGTGGTGCATTAGGACGTAAAACGATCTGTAGATTCCGAAGAACAGAAAATCTACAGGGTGTGCCATTTAAAAATTAAAAGTTCCGGTCATTTCCGGTGAAACCGGAAGTCAACAAAACTTGTCAATAATGTATAAAAATGGCGTTTCGTAAGAATATCAACCCTATCAAGTTTCGTTGATATCGATAGAAAAATAAAAAAATGGCAGCCGGAAAGTGATCTCGTGGGCACCCGGTATACATCCATCTTCAACAACAAAAAAGTTTTGTCAATCGAGTGTTTCTGGCTGCAATTTTAACAATTATCGTGTCACTAACTTTAAAAAAATATGTTATGGCGACTCGTAATTTTTTTTCCACATTTCTGTGAGTCAAGGTCTAAATTGGCTCTCCCAAAAACTTCAATTTAATCGGACTAAAACGAAGGGAGATACAGGGTGTCGAGTAAAAATTTAGAAAAATCCATAAAATTGGATATTTTTTGGAAAATGCCGATTTTAACCAGCTTCGCAATTCCAGATTGACCAGCGAACTCCAGAATCAGATCCGCCAGGTCAATTTATATAAGAATTTTTTTTTTTTTTTGGTGGTTGTTCGCGATGTGTTATAGAGGGTCCTAAAAACGCATCGTAGAGGTCCCTCGTTCTCTGACTACGAAATGTAGTTGCAAGTATCGATTCTAATTCTAGACTGAAGAAAATAATTTATAATATTTAAAATGAAAACTTTACTATAGTTGCAAATTGAGTAATAATTAAACTATTAAAATGTAGACAATGCTTAATGTGTAGCAAGTCGGAAGTGGGTCAATCGGGTCAAGCGCCTGAGCTTGAACGCGTGTGTATATACAGGGTGTAGAAATCCTCCCTTCTCAGAATGAAGCTCCTCCTAGCAGCTTCTTTAGTGTTTCTATTTCTTGATCGGTTTCGGCATCTGTAAAGGTTGGTGCTTTGGCCTCCTTCTTCATAAAGTAGTGGAGATTTTTCTGTACAAAAGTCTTACTGCAATAAATTAGAATTAGGATTAGAACAATGTACAGGAATTCGGTCCATAAACTGGGCGTATAAAGGTCTTCAGCGTGTTTCATCTTCATGTGGTTAATGGGCAGTTCCTCGAGACTCAATGTTTTCAATTGTATGCTGAATTCTGAAGTATTTTGCTTTTGCATCGAGAACTTAGGAATGTTGAATAGCAGAGGACTTCCATAGGTTTTCTCTAAAAAGTTCAATATGTTGCCTCTAAATAATATTTCGCAAGGGCCATTTACGATCAAAAAGATTCCTTTTAACTCCTTGGACTTTTTTCTATTCTCACATGTCATGTAGATTTTCTCGGCCTTTGGAAATACAGCAAGATATTGGTTTAAATCTGTAATAATTTTGACATGGTTCTCGGATATGTCTAGTGTGGTGAATGTGCATTTTTCGGTTTTCTCCAGGAACATGATTTCTTTTACAGTCCTAGCGGTACCTCAAAAAATCTTGCAAATTGTGGTAAAAGGAACAAACTTGGTAAAGATGTTTTCAAGACAAAAATAAAACATTTTGCCCGCAGCAACCATCTCATGTGGGCCCATTCATGGGTCCTTGGTGGGCCCATAGTGGGTCATAATTTGGAAGAAAAACTATCGACCAATTCCATGGGAGACGGAGGCTGACAATCGATATTATGTGCTTGGCCTCATATATGGCCAGCTTGATAGGATGCCCTTTTAATATACTCTTTTAGTGCTGAAGAGGACGAAGGAGTTAATGTGACAGGACAAAACATCTCCTTCCTTGCTTTATCAATACTTGTTGAATCAACATAAATTAGAAATTTCAACATAAATTTTAATTTAATCTGAAATTTCTACATCATTATAAAATCCACAATTTATTAGGAAATAAGGCAAGGTAATTAAACCCATCGCAAACCTTGCCCAAAGTTACTAAAAAACCACGAATCGATGTTCACGGGTTTTTCACCTTAATTTCCGTTATGATACCGCGTAGCGCCAGTGTTTTAGATACAAAGTCAACACACCTTTAATTGTTATTAAGTTATGAAAAATATTGTAATTAATTATTATTAGTTATGATAAATATTGTTAGGTTCAAATTGAAATATTTAATATAAATAAGAATCAATTTGAATAATAAAGCCAGTATCAAACAATAATAGTTTCTACTCATTTAATTACACAAAGTAGCCATTTGTGATAATTATCCCCAAAGTTCTTCCCTAAGGGCTTTGTAGTCGTTATCTTGGTTCAAGATAACTAGTGACTTTCAGGCAATAATTCCTGGACGTCACGCACAGAGATACGGACCTTGGAGGCCTTACAACCCTCTAGTGAACTACACAAAGGGCCCAACTCTGTTCAATACTCGTAGTGCATGATTGAGGATCATACATTTTAACTGTGAATTCTTCAAGCGCTTGTATATTCATTTCAAAGAGTTGTTCCTGAAGAAGGAAAGGCTGTACTAGCTTTGAAAATGCGGCACGCGCTTCTTTTCCCTTTAGAACTAAAAAAAAAATAGTCACACCCTGTGAAGGCGTGAAATCCACGGAGAGCTGCAGCCTTTCCTACTCCCGAAGCATTCGCTATATTGTGAACTGCTTATGTATAGTTGAAATCACGATAGAAAGTGAAGTTGACAGTTCGCGTTGACATTTCAAGTAACTTTTTCTTTAGGTTGCCAGCATGCGTTAGCGCTTCGATTCCGTCAGCTGGGATTAACGACAGGGTCGTATTTAGAAAAGTTATATACATTTCAGAATATTTTTTTTTTTCAATTTCTTCAAAGGCAATTAAGTTATTAAAATCCAAAATTCCAAAAATTAGAGTCCAAAGTAAACACTTATAAAAAGAGTAAACACCTAAATCCAAACTAAAACCACGTTTGAAACGCAACACCGAAACACAAAGGCACAGAACACTACATAAAAAACCAAAAAACTGATTGCGAATATACCAAATCAAAAAATAATGCAGAAAACGGCAAAAAACTGGAACGATTTTACATAAAAATTCGAAATTTAAAGACCCGCATCTGATATTTTTATATGTCATATCGAAATGTCATGTATCATTATTTGATAGTTGACAGATAAAGGGACAGATCTGGGGATTTTATTTACTTTCAACTGGTGAAAATAACGGTCAAAATTCAAAGTCTATCATGAATTCAACTCAGTGGCGGCTCGTGGCCTAAAAATTTGGAGGTTCTGCCGCCCTAGTGGCGTATTCATTTGGGATAGGGTGACGACCACCGGAAACAGAATCTTTTTTCGGTTGCCAGGGCCACGCTCAAAAAGGTTCATTTCTGTTCTTCAAAAAAATTATTTATTGTAACTGTTGATGAATAAAAAAACTCTTGATTTGTTCAATTCGCTTAATAATTGATAAGTTCTTTTTATCTGTGCTACAGAAAAATGTCAAGAATTTTTTAAAAATTATTCACAAACAACAATAAAAACTTTACTAAACCATTGTTTATATTGTCGTTTGTTAATTTTAATAAAATCCCTAGATATTAATTTTTGTATAGCCCAGATAAGAAGGATTCATCAATTTTAATTGATGGAATTACTAGATCGTAGAATTAACTGAATAAAGAAAAAAAATCCGATCCTATTTTTCCCAAAAAAAGATAATTAAAAAACAACGCACACAACAAATATGACCGACAATTTCAACAGCACCCTTTCCCGCTTGTCCGTCTTCTCGTAAAAACAATAAAATTGCATGAAATACGCGGACACGCGACCCGAGTTGGGCTGGAAATCTTGCAGCTCAATTTCCGCCTAAATTTCGGTATCTAAACCCAGGACCAAGTGCGGCGCGGGGCGATGGAAAGGGATCATAGGCGAGCACAGAACTCGGAAGTGGCCCAGCTATGTTATGTTTTACGCGAAAACTGTATTATTAACTTACCATGGCGGGCCGAATGTAGCGTTCGGCGGCGCCCGTCCCGCTCAAAGATAAAAGATATTCGAGGCAGCGTGGATCGAAAGCTCGAAAAGTAATATGAAAATTTTGGGGGTTCTGCAGCTCTGTAGCCCTTATGCACCAGCCGCCTCTCATTCAACTATAGCTTCGCTTGGATTCAACACCAAACTGAATCCACAGTTCTTAGACCATAAGTTGACAGCGAATGGTAAAATGACACAGCAATAACTAATACATCAGTATCTGAACAGCGAATAGTAACCGATGAGGTACCGAGATTAACCATATCTTAAATGTGTGAAATTATTCTACCATCGGCTTCTTCCATGCTCTTGCAACTCCTATTGCTAAGATTGGTCTGTTCACAATTAGCTTGAATCACTGTCTTCACGTTAGTAACAAGGTGAACTTCATGTATAACTTTTAGAAGGGTTATAGCAAGATTTTCTACACATGGCTTTATGTCATTGTAAACGCTATCTGTTTGACATAAATAAAGAGAAGATTTGCGTGAACCTGGCTAACCACAAAGAAAACATTTTTCTTCCATAAGATTAATCATTGGTCTCTTACTTCTTGTGCTCCTTTTTTCAGAAGAACTAGCTTCAGGTTGCTCGATTTCTGCCGAAGTATGGCTTAAAGCTGAATCATTTAAAACTTTTTTGAACTTGTCACCAACATATTTAACGGAACAGGATTTGTGCCATTTGGCTTTGTTTGTTTGGAAGGTTGCTTTTATACCATCACCTTTACCTAATATATCGACAAGGTACCCAGCATCCAATCTCTATTGGTAAGGCCGTAGCTGTTGTAAATGACTAGGTGAAGACTTGTAGTTTGAATTCCGAGCTGAGACAATTGGATTGTTCGCAGAACACAGTAATTTACCTGATTTTTTTTTGACAAAAACAGCATGCGTCCCAATTTATTTTCGGTACAGCGTACAGCTCTCAATGCAACTGGCGCTACCAATACCAACTTGTGTTTATCCATCACCAACAAATCCTACGCAATAAGACATTTTAAATAAAAAGTCGTTGCTGACCTATCAAAAGGACCTAAATTTTAAAATGAAAATTATCCCAAAAAAAGCCAAACCTTTTGAAAACATCATATTATAACTCGAAAATAGGAATTTCGTGTTTAATTAATTTAAAAAGACGTTTTTCGCGTTCAGATTGGTGACTAATTGCCAATTTTAAAATTATGACCCCACTACGGGCCCAAGTGACTTCTCATGTGGACCCACATGAGAATTATGATGGGTGCTGCGGGCAAAAAGTTTAATTTTTGTCCTAAAAACCAAGTTTTTTGCTTTTATCACAATTTGCAGGATTTTCCCAAATATTGAGGTGTACCGCTAGCACTATTTCACAAGATGCGTCAGAGTTTGCGACTAGCTAACTGGAGCAATGGTATGATTTACTTTTGGTACATGCCACTCAAGAGTTTTATCAGGTTGTCAGATTTTAAAATAAATATATCGAATATTAGGAACTATGCTAGCGAATTCTGATTCATATGAAGTAGGAATTGGCAGGAGATGAAATAGGTTAAATTTAGTCTTAAAATCCATTGGTATTGACAGGAAATAAATGATCTTATTTGCCCCTTTTTTACAATCAATTTTCTAGTATGTTTGTTACATGTGAATTACGTGCAGGAAGCATGTAACATTTGTGAGCGAATAAATTCAGCATTTCCTTATCATTTGTACCAGATTCGTAGAGGCTTTTCATTCGACTTAATTTTCTGACGCGTAGATGGTGGTGCCATCTATGTGGGCACCCGTGTGGTATGGTAGCAATTATTAAATTATTACACTAGAGGGCGCAATTTTCATTTAAATTTGACACACCGGTTAGTACCAACAATTTCCGTGACTACCTGGAGAGGAAGCGCTGTATCCGTACTTACTTGGCCCGTATGAAATCGATTCTCGCCCCTTTTTGAATTGTTTTGTTGAGCTGAATGGTCGATTGGCTGAAAGTGCTGATCGCCATCTTTTCGAGGCAACCGGCTGAAAAAAGTACCTTATCGGCCTTTGGGCGTTGCCTTGTTTAACGAATTAAAGTTGCGTGAGGCAATAATCTGTCGATATAAAAAAAAAATCGAATCAAAAAGTCTTGTGATTACGATTTAATTTAAGTTTGAATTTCAACCCAAAAACATGGTAAGCTCTTTCAAGTTTTATAAGTAATAGCTTTTCAAGGAATGCATTATTACTTAGGATCTTTCAGATGGCCGATTTTCCCAACAAGTCCATTCCAAAAAGGCCACATTTTCAAATCAACACCATTTCCGTGGAGCTTGATATTTAGCCTTTGAAGGGCTTCCTACCCTTCTAGAATCCAGACCCCCACAGGTCGATACGTCCGCCCCACCTTTGACGACGAGTATAGTCCTTTTTCTGCCTGGATTCTGGGCTGGAATCCACTAGTTCCATGTGTGGCCCCTTTCGTGCAGATATCGAGAAGGGATGGTTTCCGGATCTGCCTTATGTTGGGATGAAGGCTTCTGGTTTCACTAATAACTCTTACCTTATATCTTTTATTTCATAAAATCAGTTTCACAGTCGATTAACAAAGTTATGATAATTATTTTTTTTATTATATGACACATACAAATTATTCTTGAGACAATGGCGAAAAAAATGGTTCTTAGTTTATTGATTTTACTATGTTAGCATAACTTCTATTATTGCCTTATATTTTATCAATTTTATTAATAAGTAATCTGAATAAGGGTAAAGGTTGGACAACATGTTCTGAATTTGAATTCTTGAATAATAGCTTGCCGTCGAAAATTGAACAATTTTAAACCCAAACTCCTATAACTTATATATTGGAGGATTTCCTCCAAGTCGACCATTTGACTTATAGCCCAACCTTTGATTTTTTTTTACAGGTTCAACTTGTTTTTTTTTTAATCTATTTTTTTGCAGAGATTGACCATATTTATTAATAGAATTTTTTAATCATTCAATTTTTTTAATTAGTTTTCTGGAAACGTAAATCTTTATATTTTCCTTTCAAATTGATGATATTGGTGGCTAATGTTAATGAATTTATGAGACAAGTTTATTGAGGTACAATTTGTTGTTATGCTATTATTATCATTATTATTATGATTATTATTTTATGAGCTTAAATATTCCGATTAAAAGTTAACCTCTTTTATTTTGATTAAGTGTAAGGTGTCTTAACAACAATAGTTGATCTTATATTTTGGAATAAACCAATACTGAATTGTTTACTGACTGTGAAATATACACTATTTTAACTTAAAATTTTACTTAATTGTTTTATTGGTTTACCCATAGGTCGAGAATTGAGTTGTGTGCATTATTTATTTATTTATTTTTCCGGATTACCAATTATCGGTTGCTAATTATTTTCTAGCTGTGTTTCTAAATTTTCACACTTCCATATTTTATGCAATTTTATATATATATATATATATATATATATATATATATATATATATATATATATATATATATATATATATATATATATATATATATATATATATATATATATATATATATATATATATATATATATATATATATATATATATATATATATATATATATATATATATATATATATATATATATATATATATATATATATATATATATATATATATATATATATATATATATATATATACTTTATTTTTGCTGCATTCCCCAAACCGATTCCCAAATTGTCTTCGAACTAGTCAGCAACGACGTCCAATCTTCTTATCAGATATGGGGTTCTACCAGACCATCAAGACTTTCTCTGGCAGGGAGGCAGTTGAGCAACTTGAGACTTGGTCAGGTACAAAGAGAAAGTTGGCTAGAGAGTGCAATAGGAGAAGTTTCCTTTTGCAGTGCAGAAAGCTGGGGTTGAGGCCTGTTCACATCATGGCGTCTACCAGACTAGTGTTGTTGAGTAGGTCTGCTAGTGACGTCACATCAAATGTGTATCTGCTAATAATGGAACATAGCGTTGTATACCTAACCTAACTTTATAATGACATGTGTCTTAAATCATAATTCAACAGGTGGTCTTGACAGTCAGCTGTTTCCGGTTGACATTTTCAAAAATAATTAAAGAAAATTCCAAATTACATATTTGATGGATGATCCTCAGACTCATAAGATATATTGTAAAAGTCTCTCTCTGTAACTGTTTTAATATTTTAATATGTTGTATTGTCCCCATTTACACAATCCATCTTTTCCCTCAACATTTTTTAACGTGTATTATGTATTAGTGACTGAAAATTAAGTTCTCACTGTCCTCGATGCTGATGAAACAGATCAATAACACAACATTTATCTTTAATCTCAACAAAGATGTAAGTTACATTCAAATATTGTTTTATTGTCTTTAACTTATATATTGATCCATAGTCTCCCTGATGATGATAATAAATATTATCGAAAGCTCGGATAAACTTTAAAGAGTATACTTTATTTTTGCTGCATTCCCCAAACCGATTCCCAAATTGTCTTCGAACTTGTCAACAACGACGTCCAATCTATATATATATATATATATATTTATATATATATATATATTTTAATTCAGTGGGCCCTTGCCATACTGTACTTATTAAAAACTATCAACCCACACCTAATTTTTTTTTTTTGCTGAGCAAACCGAGCATATTATGAGCTTCTGGTTAATTCATTACCAAAAGGGGTTACAGTGACCATGGATGGCGGCAGTTTCGGTGGCACGGCACTCTGCGCACCAGCTGGAGGCCTACGGCAGGGTTTAGATTGCTTTCCAAGGTTTGCGACATCGCGTCGTGATGTCATTCTTGAAATGTCCGTTGACTCTACATCGTCCAGGGAATATCGCCAGGATGATGGAGGAATTGGATGGAACGGTATTATTGGGTCAGAATTGCATCATTTGAGTAGTCTAGAATTTGGAATCTGATAGTTGTTCGATTTGAGTAGCAGCCATTTTGTTGGTACCTCACGAGTTTCAAGTATATTGTAAATATAGCTTCAAGGTTGGGGTTATTTTTTTGAAACCTTCTCGAATCTAGGTGGTAGGTTGAGTGGATCTCTCGGCCCTTTTCTTTCTCGAACCTTCGTGGAATTGAGGTCTTATGGCCTTATGCCTTTAGAAGATTGTTGAAATTGAATTGACTCTCCCGAAAGGGGAATATCCTTCTCACGGGCAATAAAAAAGTGGCGTAACACTTAACGAAATTGTAGTAGTCACCAGGGTGAGCTAGGCTCAGTTTTTGTACGGAAAATTGGAAGTTGCTGGTTGCTGGCCACGTGCGGACAAGTCCGGAACAGGTGCCATTTCCTCATCCAGGGGGTAGAGAGCATATTTGTTGGTGTGTTAACCCTAAATATTAGGTAATTATAGTTGATTTCATTATTTCCAGGTTTTTATATCTAGATTTTTCCATTCGTTCCACGTGTAGCGTTTTTTTTCCTTCTATAAAAAGTGCTTAGGTTGCTAGCGTTTGTGCTAATACAAGTTCTCTTATCTGGGGATTAAAATTAATAAATTTGCATATAGTTTTTTCTAAGATTTGATTATTAATAGTGAGTCCGTGAGAGCAGCAAGGGGTTTTGGGGCCATGGAAAAATCTTAGGTGTCTGGATTTCCAGAAGGGGTTGTCTGAGTACTGAGGACTTGTTATCTCTTCTAGGGTTTTTGTTAAGGGCGTAGTCCCTGGAAGATTGAATCCTGTTGGAGGTTGTATTACTCGTCAAGTTTTGACGAACACCATGGTAGGGTGTGACTACCCGATGCCTCCTGGGCGTCC